TTCCACGGTATGCCGTCCAGTATACACTGGCTTTCCTGTATTCTGATTGGTTGTATTTTCTATGGCATGGTATAAATTATGATATTTCTAGGAAAGGCCTATCAGATAATAAACAATATTGATACATCTATCTATGGAACAGGAATCATAAACCTGATAAACAAATAAGTTCAGTTTGAACCCTGTTTCCTTTAATCCTGAATCGTCTACTGACTCGAATTATAATTTTCATTACTACTCAGTTTTGTTTTCTCAGAAAATTATCTTCGTCTTTTCGTCTTCACGAAACAAAAGCAGCTCTCAATTACGACCCAGAGAATTTTTTCCAATCTCATTCAAACAGACTCAACAAAATTTGTTTAAAATTTCAAAAACAAAAAACCTTCAAATCTCCGACGACTATCATGCAGTATCAAGTTAGCTTTAAAAATGTCAACGTGTTAGACTACGTTGTAAATCTCTTTAAAAAATAATCTTTGTTTTTCTGCCCAGGCGGGTCACGAGGGATCAAATTTTGTTGGCAGTCTTCCACTGCATCCGTCTTCCTGTCATCCCTGAGAAACAACGCCGCCGAAAAATCGAAATGGAGTCACCCGCGAAATTATCTTCCAAATCTTATCGTGTTGGAGATTTTCTTCCCTCTGTTAAGCCCTCATATTTGTCGTTGATTTTAGTTCTTGTATGTGGAATGAACTTTATGCGGAACGAGTCCACAAACGATCGCCTGGTAGCGTTGGAAAACCAGATGAAGATTTTGTCATCAAGTAAGAGTTGTGATGAGACTGGTTCGCCATCGAATCATCACAAAACGTCAGAAAAGCAGATCACGGATNTTTTGCAATCTCATTCAAACAGACTCAACAAAATTTGTTTAAAATTTCAAAAACAAAAAACAGTCAAATCTCCGACGACTATCATGCAGTATCAAGCTAGCTTTAAAAATGTCAACATGTTAGACTACGTTGTAAATCTCTTTAAAGAATAATCTTTGTTTATCTGCCTAGGCGGGTCACGAAGGATCAAATTTTGTTGGCAGTCTTCCACTGCATTCGTCTTCCTGTCGTCCCTCAAAAACAACGCCGCCGAAAAATCGAAATGGAGTCACCCGCGAAATTATCTTCCAAATCTTATCGTGTTGGAGATTTTCTTCCCTCTGTTAAGCCCTCATATTTGTCGTTGATTTTAGTTCTTGTATGTGGAATGAACTTTATGCGGAACGAGTCCACAAACGATCGCCTGGTAGCGTTGGAAAACCAGATGAAGATTTTGTCATCAAGTAAGAGTTGTGATGAGA